AGATAGCGTTTCGTTATATTATTCGTAAATAGTCGGACGCGGCTTCGAATTCGATGCGTAAGCGTCCTTCCGAGTACAATTTGTCATTTCCAGTGCTAGTTTTTTCTTCAAATTACTATTTTAACCCTTAGCACTCACATTTCGATAGAAATACATATTGGAAAAATATTAAACGTATAAGTTATTAAACTGTTGAAGTATTCACCACTGTATATGTATACATTCCCTTAATTAAAGGTTATTCATAAGTTAATATCTGGGCACACTGAAGTATTAATATAAGCCAGTACATAGTCGATGGAAAAAATGTAGCAAGGTCGTTGAAATTGGTCTGTCGACAAAGTTTACACGTTCGAGCACATCGATAAGTAAATCGACAGTCACGGCTGCACGAAGCATGCCTTAGCTTTGATTCAGTCCTGATCGAAAAACGAAAAATGTCGCATGAACCCTGGTTGTCACTGCATCAGTCGGTCCCACTACTTAATCCTTTCATTTACAACCTCGCCATATTTCTCCCACCGACTATACGATCGCTGTAAAGTAGATGGGCGTGTGGCCCGTATAACCGCACAGTATCGTGCGATACGTTCGTAAGTCAGAAATGCCCTAACGAGAAAGGGTTAATAGAGAGTCCGCAGATTTTTGAAGTTTGATAGGTTTTCGATTTTTTGAAATTTCGATCCTCTTTATCTAACAATGAGTCTTCACAGCAGAAATTCCCGATAACACGATTCTATCTTATCGTGATTTTTTATGGAAATGTTTTGTTGGCCCGGCTGATAACACGGATGAGATCAGAACCAGGCAGTAAAGTGTATGTACACACACTTTTTCATCATATAATTATTACACGATTCTTTGCTTTCGTCATGCGGTATAATGATTCGAATCGAAGAACATGTACGATTATCAGTGTTTCGTCATCAGCTGAAAACAAGTTACTGTAATTTGTTAACACGTTCATTCCTCAATTATCTTCACATCTTTTATCCATACATTATCCGCACGGAATAGTATACATTTTATTTTTTGTTATTATTTAAGACTTTTTTTTTTGTTCATTCAACGAGGTTAGAGAATTAACAAGTACCCTAAAAGAAGAAGTAAACGGGCGAGACTAATTCTGATTTTCCACATGACGTGGTTGGAAACTATCGAGGGGAAAGGTCCGTAAATCAACGTGATAAGCTCAGTCTTATTTCTGTCGATAAACTCGGCTACGCTATCGTGAATAAGAAATGTTTGTCGAGTTTCTCAATATTTCTGTTGAGGTCGTTCGATGACCGATTGCGACGTACGTCACATATGTAGGTGCTTTTCACAATACGTGCACGATACATACTGCCCGTATCGTTTCTTATACGTACTGCTAAATAATTCTAGGCAATTCGAAGACGAATCTTTGTTACATTTTCCAAGCAACGAAGAAAACCTCTCCGCCCATAGGATCCACCGATGTTAAAATTTAAATGGTCTGCGATAGAGCGAGTTCTTTTGCGGTCGGAGGGGAGAATTGACGAATAGATTAATCGAAGCGAGAAAGGATGAACCGGGGATGATTTACCTCGTTCTATGGCCAACGACAAGTCCCTCTTCTGTACGAGTCACCCTTGCGTTAATATTCCTTTTCATGTTGCTCTCGCGGCTCGGTAAATAACGAATGGCAGAATATCATCGTGTACGACCAGACAGCGGGATAAAAATAAAAGAAACTCGAATCGAGAAGCGACTGGGTGTAGCTTAATCCATTAATTGAGAGACTTCACTGAAATCGACAAACTCTTTTCACAGTGCGCGGAAAAATGTCATAAAAATTACGTTACGTAGCATACGTGTAGATTAAAAATAAGGGTGAGGGTGATCGAAATGAACGCTTGGATTTTCCGTTTCATTCTCCAGGCATTATTTTCTCGGTGCACAAGCGTTCGGCTTCGATAGAACGAATTATTGAAAAGGGTCTTCGATGGCGTGATTGATTTTTTATTTGACATTCGAAAATAGAAGCGCGATGATTAAACCGTTCAGCACCAGCTCAATTAAGGTGCATGCGCGTGCGCGCGAATAAATAAAATGGAATTGCAGCCTGTGATCGGAGATAATCGATATAACGCGGTTGAAAATGCACAGAACAGAGAGAGAAGGGGAGAGACGGAGAAAAAAAACAATGCTTCTGTTAATGCCATCGAGCTGCTCGCGGAATTTCTCACAATGTACGTATGCAGTTAGATAATTAAAACGCTGCTTCTCGAGCATTGCAATAGTAATGTGTCTTTTTATTGGAAACATTACATTCAATTCCTCGAACAAACATAATTATAATTGATTTGGCGAAGAATGTTGAAAAAATTTGTTTTGCATATTGTGCATGTAGTAATGTCACTTTCACGATCGATCTCTGTTTATTCTCTCCCGAATTTTCTTTATCCCGAATTTTTGTACACAAAATTGCTGGTGCGTTCGAAACTCGACTGTCATCGTGATATGGCCCGCGAGGGAACGTTCGGAACGTTCGTTCTTTAATTTCCATCATATTTAATGGTTCGATCTCGCACTATTCAACGAGCCAGATGTTACGTCGACAACTCTATCTTTCGTTCAATAGTTATCAGCAATCATTGATTCCATATCGTTTTATCTTCGACACCGTTCGTGTCGTGAGCACTCGATCGATTCTTGGGAATGGTGTTTAACAGAAGCACGAGTTGAATTAGGTAGTGGTGGTTCTGGCGCGATACGCATCGGCGATATTAGCGGTAGCTGGTTGTTCGTAGTCGGAGCACGATGACTCAAGCTGCTGGCATGAATCGTTGCGCTCGTTAGGACGCGCGGAGTTGCTTGGCGCGATACGGTCGTGCCTGTTGCGAAACACGGGCAAATTGATGCACGTTTAAAAAGCGTGACGCTCGCGGACGAGAGAGCTCACACCGCGACCGCCGCGCCGCCGCTATCGTACCGTTGATCAATATAAGACGCGAGCTCGTTTTTAATTCGTGCGAACTCGATGGTCGAAATAACAGCACACACGCCACGGCCGACCTCCGAATAGAACGATTAATTAGTTCCGTGTAATAATATCGAGACTTGGATGAAAATTTGCAAATAAATCATTTTTCATTTTCTTTCGAGTATTGTGTTATTCGAGAAGTGTCTGTATTTATCGCGTACACTACACCATCACTTAATATTTAGGGAGAGATAGACGAATTATGCTGCGCGAAAAATTCCATCCATCAAGAACGCAAGTTATTGATTCGTCGAGCAGTATTTGATCAGTAATTATTTCGACTACAGACGTAGAGAGAAAGAGGAAGAGGGGTGGGCTAACTGGGAACAAAAAGCAGATTAAGCGTGACGGGTTAAAAGTCGAGAAAGAGAAAGTCAACGAACGAATGGTAGCTTAGTCCCTGATTGAGCCTGAATGCCGTGTTTTGGCTTTTATTACGCTCAATCGCTCAGATTCCCGGCCCACCCGTCCCTCTTCTCTCTGTACCCGGGCGTGCGCGTGTCTCACGCTTTTAACCAGCATTTTACGAGCTTTTGTCCTCTCTTCTCCTCCTCCCTTTACTCCTCTCAATGCTTTCTGCACACCTTTTGTCCGGGAATGCAATACGCGGACAAAATGTGTGCGTATAATGCCGCTACACGGACAAAACACGGGCGCAGTCTCCGGTGCAACACGCACGAGTAGAGACAGGCTTGTGCGCGCGTCTCGCGCCATGAAGAGAACGTCTTTCGCGATGCCTAACGTCTTTCGCGATGCCTAACGTGCAAAGTAGTAGAGCTTGACTAAATTCCTTGACTGGAATTTTTGGAAATGATATTTTCCAGAGAAGTTGTCTTTTTATTCTCTAGTAATTTACTGGATGCTCGTAGTAAAACTGTAATAGTCCCTCTTGTCTCGAGAACGCAAAAGGTTCATGCCAGACTGGCTTGTACGTACGCAAGACCAAGAGGACACACGCGAAGAATACAAACGGACGCATCGAAGGATGACGTGAGCACCGGACAAACAGAACACGTGGATTGACATTTACTCACGGCTTGATTAGCATAGTAAACCCTCTTCTCGGACGGGACTATAATTAGATTCGCGGTCTGCTCTTGACAGGCTGCTTAAAGCCTTACCCTCTCTCTCACGCGCGCGCGCGCACACACGCACACCGTTAATTTTTCTTCGCTTCCCACTTGTCCTCATCTTTGTTGTGGACAGATTTTATCCCCCCCCAGCGACCTTGACACATTCATCTCCTCTCTGCAGGAAAGTCATCGTGGTCTCTCCTTTTCGTGTTCCGAATCGTGATTGAAATGACTCGAATCGAAGGAAAATTGCTTTGCGTTTTCATTCAGTTCTGGAAAAAACTGAAATACCTTGTTTTGGATAGTACACTGTTGTAATTAATGCGTTGCCTCTTGAAAAATTAATCGCTTGATATTATACAAGCGGCAAAATATTCTCGTTGTCAAACGATAGTCCGTATAGAAGAAAATCTAACGGAAACCTCTTTAGCCTGTACTTATTGGATTGCAACGTCTGCACGGCACAGGCGGAAAGTCCAATCGCACAGACGTTTCTTATTGGATTCGTGAGCTGTAGGTACGTAATACCTCTTTCTAGTCGTGCACATCAATGAGAACAATAAGCTACACAATACGATTTATCAGTGTCTCTCTCCCTCTTGATATAATCACTTTATCGACAATTTTTACCGTGTTCCCAAGTCTCTAGTAACGTGTTAAAGTTGAGCAGAGTTTTGCTTTTTAAGCTACGCTGAAATTTTTACGCGACCAATTAAGCTATATAGTCTAAAAGAAAGATATTTCAGTACGCTTTGACTGCTACCTACGTCTGTGTCTAATGCGGGCCCATGAGCACGACGGCCAAAGCGAAAACAGCACGGAGGTAGACAGTGACGAATAGCGGGTTAGGGAACAGGGAACAGGCGTGACGATCGACCCCGTCCCATCGGCAAACTGATTGGCAGTATTTATTGAAGTAGGTGCCTTATGCTCCGCAGAGAAACATGCAATCGACCTCGATGGCGTGGAACACGTTCATCCCACTGCAACCGCCAGGAAGCAGGACGCACTCTGCGCCGCATTCCGGAATGACAACGCACGTGAGCCATCATCATCTGGGGCCAGGTGCGGCCGCGGCACATCCAGTGACGGTCGCGCAGCAACAGCAACGCGAACGGGAAGAACGGGAACGTGAGGCGAGAGAAAGAGACCCGAGGGAGCAGAAGCAAACCGAGAACTTGGGGATAAGGGAACACCTGGCTGCGGCCGAGAGACTGCACTGGCAGGCCGAGGCTAGGGACCACGTCGTCGCAGCGGCGCAGCAGAGGGCCGCTTATTATGCAGCCACAGCACCTCCGACTCAACAGGTACGTACATGAGTGCGTCTCGCATATTCATTTTAACCAATCGAATTTTTTCCTTTTCTCCACGAGAAAATCGAAATGACAGTTTCCGTCTGGTTATTTTCCGAAGCAGGTGCCTCGACCGTCGAGCGTACCTGGTAAAGTCGACTACCCACCACCACCGGCACACTCGAGGACGTCCAAGTCTTCGCTTCCCGTTGGTAGTCTCCTCGAGAAACCTCCATCGGTGATAGGATCGTCGCACAGTTCCCTCCCAAAGGTCGAGCCTAACGTAGGTCTGTTCAATTACTCGTCGTACCAGCCACAATCATCGTACATGCACGACATTAAAGTGAAGAGCGACGCGGTGGGCCAACCACACAAGTCTCTAACTAACAAAGGTGGCTTGGCAGGCGGTCTCGAAAGGGACCACCACGGCCGGGAGGTTCTCCAGAACCCACCAACCCTCCTATCAGACCACAAGAGCTCAGTGATAGTGAAGAACGAGGGTAGGGAACTGCCAAAGGCAGTTGTGTCCCAGCAGCAGCAGCAGCAGCAGCAGCAACAACAACAGCAGCAGCCACAGCACAGCAACAGCACTCGGCCAGTCCGAAGATCATGCCCTATCTGAACGTGCAGTCGGTGCCTCCGCAGCACAAGCCGTACGAGTACAGAAGCCCCACGCAAAGTCCTCACCATCTTCACCATCTGGATAGCCTCCAGGCGGCGAAGAGCATACCTCAGAGCCACCACAGGAACAGTAGCGGGCCCACGACCACGACACAGTTACCCAGTCCCCATGGGCATCCACCGCCACACTCGCACAATCGACAGTCGCCACACGCCCAGCATCCTCATCAGCCACCGCATCCGTCGCCACCAGAGCCGCGGTATCTGACCAGGCCGGAACCGGCGGGGCTACCTTTTGCTACTGCCAAGCCCTCGTATCCGTATCCACATCCGCATCCGCATCCGCCCACGGCTTCGCCGACCTCACACTACACCGCGCCGGCCGGTTCGAAGCCGAAAGTCAGCAGCCCAGCGCCTCCACACATCTACGGGAAGCCGAATTCCGGTATCATGACCGGAACACCGGTCTGCAGAGCCTCGGAACCTGCAGTTGCAGCACCCTTACCTCTCACCTCGAAGGCGGGCAGCTCGCCTTACCAGCAAGTGCCTCACCATCATGGGGCGCCACCTCCACCTCTGCCTCCACCAGCGCACAGCAGGTCCGTCTACGATCCCAGGGGATACACGGGTTCCATGCCTGCAGCCAAGCTACCACCGCCTCCTCTACACGGTTCTCCGCCGACAGCAGCCTCCGCGCCACTATCTAGGCCCATTGTCGCCCATCCTGCTCATCACACGAGTCCTCATCAACAACCTGGACAGACTGTACAGCAGCAGCACGTTCAGCCCCAAATCAACGCGGCCTTTCAAACTCAGCCGTTGGATTTAGGTGTTGAAAGGTCTGGTTCGCCTAAGAGAAAGGCACCTACACCTTCGTTGACAGAGAATCATCCCGGTCAACCTGTTTCTTTGGAGGTATGCAAGAAACGCAGGACCGAGGAACCACAACCGTTGTCCCTACAATGCGTAGGACCGCCTGTACTGTCGAGAGTGAGTGAACCAAGTCCACTAATCGCCTCAGCAGCCACCTCGATCACTACTGTGGTAAACACGGCTGCTCTACTTGCTCAACCGAACATGCAGACAAATCAGGAGCGTATCGTGACCGCCGCGGTCAGTCCAGCACCAAGAACGGCTAGTGGAGATGGCTCTGTGAGACCAGCTAGCACTGGCAGCGTCAGCTCTTTGAACCCTACTGTGAGTGCAGCGCCTAGCCCAGCGCCCATACCCAGTCCAGCGCCTTCCACGGCGCCCAGTCCAGCGCCCAGCGCACCTGGCACCCCAGCCAAGGTTACTAATCCTAGTACAGTAGACAGTGAGAAGTCCAACAGTCCAGCACCTAGACCACCTAGTAGTACCAGTTATCCTGTGCACAAGCTGAAAAAGGCTTGGCTGCAGAGGCATTCTGGCGAGGATGGTACAGAGGACACCACGGGGGTCGTGGGAAGTGGATCGTGTGTCACGTTACCCATGAACATCTCCCAAGCACCCTCGCAATCGCTCAATAACAAGGAACGAGACGCATCCTCGAACGTTTCTAGTAACGCGACTACCACCTGCCTGCCTAGCGCTGTTAATTCCATTCACAATATTGGCAGCATGGCGGTGAATAGTATCAATAAGAGTAAGGTGACCGCAAAAAGCAGTCGTAAATCAGCGAATAAAGAATCCTTGAATGGCCACGCCACTGACACGAAGACGTTACAAGAAGACTCGTCCAGCAGCGACCCGGAGAGAAAGTCGCCGCCAAAGAGGAAACCACCCAAGGTATCTATATGATGGATCGTATCTATCCTATTATTCTTCATTTCTTGGATCTTCACATTTTTTCGAAAGATCGTTTCTTATCGTTGCATCTGTGCATGTTTCTGTCATTTTTTCCCCTCTACATTCTACGTAGTTCGTGAATGTTTCCTAATTCGTTATGGTATCTTTCATAAATAACAAATAATCTCGAGCGTAAAAAATCTATAACTAAGCGGGTGGGCGGCTTTTACGTTTGAATTTCCCGCTTAGTTCGCCGCCATTTTGATCGTACCGGCGCAATCACGAACCACAAGTAGAAGAGGGCAGCAGTTTGTGCGTGCGTGTATATATACAGTATAACCGGAGAATTTTCGCACAAGTTTTTCGAGTTTCAACGGGGATATATGTGCTACGCGTATGCTTATTCATCCTGTGAAATGTATTCTTCTCAATGGATGGAAATGGTAAAATATTGAACGTTCATGGTTGGAGATATTTCTGGTAGAAGAGAGAACATAACCTCCTTCTGTACTTCGTGGGAGAAAATTGTTTTGATTGATCTCTTGTACTTGTTCGACATTTCGAAACCAACAATGTGGTCGTCGACATATTTACGAAGCAACTGTTAAATTTGTTTTTCTTTCTTCAAGTTCGTTACTTTAAAACTATCCAAGCTGGTGCATGAAAAATATATTAGAAAAGGAATTGATTTGCTTGTACTAGGAAAATATACAGAGTATATAACAAGATATATACAGAGTGTTCCTGAACTATAAAGTAGAGACTTATCCG